TTTTTTTTTCCTCTGATAGATTGGCAAAGAATCTGCTTTTGTAACTCATGGGCAGGGCTGGTGCCAACAACCCTGCGGCGAGAGAGATTAGCACAAAACAGTACCTCCCAGAAAAAAGAAGAGAAAACCCAAATATAGATATATATTATAAATGTATAATTTCCATAAAACATATATTAAGGCATGTAATAGCAAAATAAAGGGCCAGCTTTATGAGCTAAGAGGGCTGTGGGACGCGGGGCTCCTGGGATCCTACCGGTATTGCTACTCCGTCTGCCCCATCACACCAGCCCCACCAACCCCCCAACCTCATGGGAAAGTCCACTTTTCCAGGCAGAACCAGCTATTTTTTTTCACCCCCCCCCCTCCAGAAAGCTACAGAAAAGGGTAAACTTGCTACAGGAAAACCAAAGAGACTGAAGGGTTTTGTCGGCAAGGTCTTGGGGGGCGAGACGCTGGATTTTCACAGGGGACCAGACAGAGGTGACAGCAGGATGAGGTGACAGTAGGATGGGGGGGCAAGTTGAGGTCCCCACGCCGAGGATGAGCCCCGCTGCTGCCACCCGGCCCCAGGAACCTTCTCCTTCTTGTCCCCATCCCCATCCACCCCAGGGGGATCCCTGCCGAGCCCGCGGCTTCGCAGTCCCACCTCACACCCAGCTTCCCCCATCGCTCCTCTGCTCCCGTGCCACGTCCCCGTCCCTCCTGCTCCGTGCCAGCGGTGCACCGGTGCCCCAGCAGCCCTCACGCCACCCCGATCCTGAGCACCCCATCCCCTGGGCACCTCCATGTCCTCCCCCTGGTCCCATCTCCATCCATCCTGTCCTTGTCACAGCTCCTTCTTCCTCCTGCCGAGCCACCAGCGCGAGGGGCGGTTGGACAGACCAGGCTCCACCAGCTGGACAGACCAGGCCCCACCAGTTGGACAGACCAGGCCCCACAGGTGACAACCCCTGGCCAGAGGGATGCTAAAAGCAGGTTCAGGGCACAAGGAGGGGAAGAGGTGCCCGAGAAGCAGAGATGGAGCATCCATGTCCAGTGTAAGGTGGAAGCACCGCCCATGGTGGGGACGGGATGGTCTCCACCCAGAAAAGCCCCTTCCCAGACCTTTGGGAGACCAACGCATCAGCCTGAGGGCTCCAACACTCCCCCAGGACTACCCTGGCAGGGAGATGGCCACTGTGCCCGGGGGCCACTGCTGCAGATGCCCCGGCCTGATGCCCAGGACACCGCCGACCTGTCCCTGTGCAGGCTGGCAGCCCGGGGGCTCCTCGGGGGACCACACTCCATCGGACAACCTCCCAGCAGCCACACGTCTCCTCCAGGACGGGGCAGAGCAGCTGGAGGTGTTGGTCGATGCCTCTCCCCGCTGGGCTGTGCCGGGGGGTCTCGCCGTCGGCGGGAGGGAAGGGGGTCCAGGAGAACCAAAAACGATGGCGAGAGGTTCAGTGTCGTGTCGGGGCTGGGGGGTGGGGGCTAAAACGTGGCCCCGTGGAACTTGATGATGCCGGCAGCAGCCAGGGCTTGAGCTGGAGGGAGAGGAGAGGGGGGCTGAGCTACATCTGGGGTGGCCGGCGGTGGGGCAGCCCCTGTGCCCACCCCACAGACCCCTCCTCAGAGGAAAACCTAGCACAGATTCAGCTCTGTGCCCCCACCTCTGTGGGGTGGACCTCCAACCGAGCAGAGGGACGTTGCATCCCCCCAAGTTTGCAGCCACCAATGCAGACATGCCAGGGCAGGTGTCCCTCAGAGCCTGGCCTTGAGACCCCCCTGCATGCCCACCCCCGTGCCCACAGCAGCCTCCTGAGCGCCCCCCTGCCCGTGCTGGTGTCCCTGGGGTCCCTGACTTCTCCTTGGAGGACACTTGTGCTTGGTCCATGGGAGGAGATGGGGCTGACGTGGCTCAGGAGATGTTAGCCGGAGCAAGCAGCGATGCACGGACACCAGGCATCCCCCTGCCTGGGCCCCCCCCTACCCGGGGATGGAGAGAGGATGGGATGAAGTAGGAGAGAAGAGGTTCTTACTTCATGGCTCAGACACGCATAAAATGGCTGTTGTCGGCGGCCCGGGATGTTTCAGACGAGAGGGGGTTGGTCGGTGGAGTCGGGGAGGCTGGGGAGGTGGGAGGGCTTGGGGTAGCGCATTGAGCTGGAAACAAGAAATGGGAGAAGGGCATGAAGAACACAAGGTGCCGGCAGCGGCGAGGGCAGGAGGCAACCCAGGCAGGGGTTAGCGGAGGGGAGGAGAAGGGAGAGGAAAGAAGGAAGGAAGGAAGGAAGGAAGGGGGGAAGGAAGGAAGCAAGCGTGGTGAGGACAAACAGCCACAGCGGCGCCCATCCACGGCAGGCACACGTGAGCTCCCTGCAGGGCTCCTCATGGACAAGGCATGGCATGGCATGCCACCATGCTGGCACCAGGCATGGTGTACCACCACGCTGGTTTGAAGATGGTGTACCATCATGTTGGTTTGAAGATGGCATGCCCACCATGCTGGCACCGGGCACGGTGTACCACCACACTGGATTGAAGATGGTGTACCACCATGCTTGTCTGAAGACGGCATGCTCACCATGCTGGCACCATGCATGGTGTACCACCACGCTGGTTTGAAGATGGCATGCCCACCATGCTGGCACCAGGCACGGTGTACCACCACACTGGTTTGAAGACGGTGTGCCACCACACTGGTTTGAAGATGGAGTGCCACCACACTGGCACCAGGCACAGCCAGGTGCTCCCATCCCATGGCATTGCCAACCTTTTCTAATGAGGTCCCAAAACCTGCTCCTGGCCAAAGGGGCTGCTCCATCCCATGACGCTTAGAGCTGCCGCAGCCCCAGGCACCGTGGGCAGGGTCCCAGTAGCTCCCAGTATCACCAGGCTGGCTCTCCCACTGCACAGGGATGCCCAGCCCCAGGATTGATGCAGCTCTTGGTCCTGCGGCTTATCCAGCCCATCAATCCTGCATCCAACCTGCCCGATCTGCCTCATCCCTCCTGCTCTCTTGGCACGTAACGCTCCCTGTGGTCCATTCTCCTATGGGGCTGGCAGGCTCTGACCCACTGTGCCCCCCACCCCGTGCCTTACCCGAGAGCATACGGCCCCGGCGGGAGGCTTCGGCAGCCAGAGCACAGGAGATCTCTATCCTCTTCTCCTGCTCCTGCAGCTGGGTCTCGGGGTCCTGGGGGGCATCCACCTCCCCCTCGCCCAGGGGGATGACGTTCTGCAGGCTGGGCAGAGCACCCACCATCAGCACCCATGCCCGGCCTCGATGGGGCTGGGGGGTGGGGGGAAAGGGGTGCAGGGGGGGCACCCCAGGATGGCCAGTTTGGCCACGTGGACAGAAGCCTCACCTGGATTTGGCAATGAGGGTCTTGATCCGTTCCACCTTCTTCTGCTTCTCCTTCATCTCCTCGGGGCTGAGCGGCGTGTCGGGCTCCAGTTCCACGTACCGCTCAGGGATGAGGACTTTGTCTGGCGTGGAGAGCTGGGGGCAGCAGGAAGGACTCAGCCCAGTGCCAGGGACCCCCCCAGTACCCACCCACCCCACTCACCCCCAACACCTGCCCTGGGCGAGGGCAACCCCGGGCCGGGCATGGCCAGTGGCAACAGGATCCTGACCAGCACCAGGAGGATGGATGGAGCCCCCAGTGCACGGTGTGGAGGGGGGGATGCTCCATGCCCAAGGGCTGCCAGCCCCCCCGCCCCGAGACAGCCCGTCCTCACCTCCTTGTTGATGTCCACGTCGTAGTGCTGGGGCTCCAGCTCCATCTTGCGCAGGCGGGCGATCTCCTCCTGGGGGGTCTCGTAGACCTTGCCGGGGTCGTCGGAGCGCAGGGCTGCCTCCAGGTCGGAGATGTCCACCTCGTGGATGCTGCGGTGCCGGCGCACCTACCAGAAACCCCCCGACCCCACTGAGTACCCCCCTCCTGGGATGACACGCTGTCCCCTGCCCCAGCAGCCACCCCCTTCCCCAGCCCCCAGTGTCCTCTTTGCTCTGTTGAGGGACCTCAGGGACTCTGCAAAGCAAGAGGGTTCAGTTCAAGAGGGACAGGGAACTACTAGAAAGAGTCCAGTGTAGGGCAACAAAGATGATTCAAGGATTGGAGCATCTCCCTTATGAGGAGAGACTGAGAGAGCTGGGACTCTTTAGTCTGGAGAAGAGAAGGCTGAGGGGAGACCTTATCAATGCCTACAAGTATCTCAAGGGAGGGTTGAAGGAGGAGGGAGCCAGACTCTTTACAGTGGTTCCCAGTGAGAGGACGAGGGGCAACAGGCACAAGTTGGAACAGAAGAGGTTCCACTCAAATATGAGAAAAAACTTCTTCACGGTGAGGGTGACAGAGCCCTGGAACAGGCTGCCCAGGGAGGGTGTGGAGTCCCCTTCCTTGGAGATTTTCAAGCCCCACCTGGATGCTCCTGAGTAACATGCTCTGACAAGCTCTGGGTGGTCCTGCTTCAGCAGGGGAGTTGGACTAGATGATCTCTATGGTCCCTTCCAACTCTAAAATTCAGTGAAATTCAGTGAAAGGTTGACTTGCCCCAGCCCCGTGGCCAGTGCAGGGACTCACCACCTTGTAGGAGGCGGGTGCCTTGGTGCCGGGGGGGTCGGGCTGCTGGCTGCTGGGGAGCTGCAGGCTGCGCCGCTTCTCCTTCATGGACCCGCTCTGGTGCCGCTTCATGCGGTCGATCTGCTCCTCCACACTCATCTTCACCTTCGTCTCGGTGGTGAACACGGCGCTCTTCGGTCTCTCCTGGGGGGGAACCCCAGCCCCACGGTCACACACGCTCCAGCCCCATCCACCCGGTGCCACAACAACCCTCTGCAACGGGGCTGCTCAGCCCCCTCCCGGGGTGGGGGGAAGGCACCGAAATAGCCCAGGGTGAGGGTCCCCAAGGAGCTGGATGCTGCACATGGAGCCACACAGGGATGGAGGGGCTCCCCCATGTGCTGTCCCAGCCCCACAGACTGCGATACAGCCCCCACTTTGCCACCCCAGCCCCCAGCCCCACCACCCTGGCCCCCAGCCCCTCAGTGCCAGCCCTACCCGGGCGCTGAGCCCGTTGGCCATGCCAGCAATGCTCCTCCTCAGCACACCGGCCGCCGGTGTCACCTCCTCCTCTGCCGGAGACTTGGTCCTGGGGGGGACGATGCCCACTGCGGAGCAAACCGAAACACCGGGATGAGCCCCCCTTGGGAGTTAGGAACAAGGTCCCAGCAAGATGCTGGATGCTCCTGGGAGGCACGGAGGGTCCTGCTGGAGTGGGACCTGCTGGCCCTGGTGCCATACCCTTGTTGAGAGCCGCTTGCTTCTCCGCATCCTGCTCCTGCCGGCCCTGCGGGAGCCCCTCGGCTGGGGGGCCGGTGGGGGCCGGTCGCTGCACCTCTTTCTTGCTCTGCTCGAAGCTTGGTTTGGGCTGTGGGGGAAAGCAAGACCCTGGTGAGACCCTGCCTGGGGGCCACGCTCTGCCTGGGGACAGACCTGCTGCTCTCCGGAGCCGTGGGGTGACACACGGCCCCGCAGACACACTGCCAGGAGGGGAGGGACACACGGACACCAGGCAGGCGGTACCAGCGCACCCCAAACATGTGGGGAGAGGGGTTCACTGGGCTCACAAGTGCTTGCCCCTGCTATTCCCTGGGCCATCGGGTCTGGGCACCAGGACAGGACAGGCTCCTGCATGGGAAAAGGTTCCTGCAGGGATGATGGTCCTGCCACAGCTTGGAGGGGGCACCTGGGAGCCCCAGGATGGGGACACCCTGGCTCCAGCACAACCCCATGCCTGTGGGAGAGGACGGGGTCCCACAGGGGCAGACACTGCAGCAGCAGAGTGAGCAAAGAGACATTTTAAGGATCTTTCCCCTCCTACATCCCCAGGGCACAGCCTGCCCAGGGCCCGGGCACTGGTGCCATGGTGCCAGTACAACAGAGGGCTACGGCAACAAACCGAGGAGCCCAGCATGTCCCCCCCGACCACCCTGTGTGGGCATGACACATCCCGACACCCCTTACACCCCATGGATCAGCATGCAACCACGACTGTGCTGCCCTGCAGCCCCACGGCTGCTGGAGATGCCACCCACACTCACACTGGGGTCTGTCACCTTCCCCAACTCAGCCTGTGGTGCCAGTCCCACATCCTGAACCCCCTGGCGTGCCCACATCCTGACTCCCCCATCCCCGCCATAAGGATGCTTGTGTCTCCTGGTGCCCAAACCTGGCCCCTTCCTCCAGCAGGAGCACAGACGAGGCGTTACCAGGAATTCCCAAATCCGGGTTTGCCCTGGGGGGGCAGGAGTTGGGGGGTGTCACCCCCATCAGCAGAGCTTGCCAGAGCTGCACGGCGGGGAGCGGCGCCGCGGAAGGACAGTGAGAGAGGCGAGGGCAGAGGAAAGCAGAGGGGCTGATACTGGGGGGCTGTGGGATCTTTGGGGGCTGCCCAGGAGGAGTCCATCCCCATCCTGGGCGAGTGCAGTGGGTGCAGGGGACCTGGTGGGGACAGGAGGGCCACGGTGGGACATTGTGCCACGGGGACACTGCTCCTCTCAGAGAGAGCAGGTACCAGCCACACGCTGAGGTCCCCTCGCCAAGTGCCACCTCCGTGCTGTCCCCTCTCCCATCTCATCCCAGCCTCGGTTGGTGTCTGGGGGGGACATGGATGGGGACAACGCTGCTGTGGGGCCGCTCTGGGGAGGATGAGGTACCTGTCCCCTCTTCGCCTCGCCGCCTTGCTGCCAGGAAGGGGAGGTGGGGTACGGCCAGAGGCGGCTCTCGCCGGGGAGCGGAGGGACGGTCGGAGGAGACTCCAGGGGCACGTAGGACTTGGGGAGGGGAGGTCGAGGCGGGCCGGGTTCCTGGGGTGGAGAGGAGCATGAGGCGTGAGAGCGGAGACACTGAGAGCCGGGAAGGAAGAGAGAGTTAGAAAAAGGTCGAGACAACACACAGTGGAAGCGTCGAGCCGAGGAAAGGAGGAGGAGGAGGAGGGAGAGCCGCCGGCCACCACTCCCCGCCGGCCCTGTGTCCCCACGCAGAGGGGGACAGTGCTTGCCACCTCTCGTGTCACCCTCTCTGCTGCACATCCCTAGGGCAGCGGGGCAGGCAGGGCTCGGGGGCTCACCAGCTTGGGGCTGGCAGCCCCCAAAAGACATTGGCATCACCCCTGTGCAGCCAGCTGGAGCTGGGGAGGGGTCCCCAGATTCCACCCTGAACTTCACAGGGATGAAGGTGAGACCAGCACTGAGCACGGGCAGCGAGAGGGGACCGTGGTGGCAGCAGGAGCTGGTCCTGAAGCCAAAAGCTGGAGCTGAGCAGCTCTCAGCCTTCAGGGCTGCTTGATGGAGGAGCCCAAAGGCTGCAAAGCCCAGCTGCAGGGACCACAGACCCAGATGTCACCGGGGGACACCACAGCCCGTGCACGTGGCCAAAACGGTGTCCCCAAGCAGAGCCACAAGGAAACCCAGCCATCCTCTGTGCCTGGTGGCCACCCGTCCCCCGTGAGTGAGGGCTGGGGCCAGCCTGCAAGCCAGGCTTGGGGACCTGATGGTGGCAAAGAGCTCGCCGGGGACACCCTGGTTCACTCACCTCGCCGGGTCCTGGCTTGGTGGGCGAGCCCTGGGAGCCCGAGATGAGGGAGAAGGGGCTGAGGGGGCTGGTGAGACTGGCCGAGCTCAGGGGGCTGGCAGGGCTGTTGGAGCTGTACGTCCCCGAGGGGCCGATGGCCACTGCGAAGAAAATCAGAAATAAATGCCTGCACCGGGGCATCCGTGTCCCCAAACGGGTGCTGCCACCCGCCTCATGGCAGCAGAGGCACCGGGGATGCCCCAAGCCCTGGCACGGTGGGGTTTGTGCTGGGCGAGGGCAGGGCCGGACCCTGCTCACCTCTGTGCTTGGCAGTGTCAGTGCCACGGGACGGGTTGTTCTTCCTCAGCCCCTCCATCACGTCCTGGATCCTCCAGATCTCCTTCTGGATCTGCCGGTTGACCACTTCGTTCTGGAGGGAAGGGAGAAAAAGGTGGGGGTCAGAGCAGCTCCCACCACCACTGCCAAGCCCCACTGCACCCCAGCCCCACGCTGACCCACAGGTGTTCATCAGAGGCAGATAAAGCCCTGGAGGGTCTGAGCCATCATGCCCACCACTCATAATCTGCCAGAAGCCATCGTTCCGCTCCCCTGGGGGCTGGGGGGAGCTGATGGAGCCCCAGCAACACTGGGAGCACTGGGCTGCAGCCCCTCGATGGCACCCAGGTGCCCATGGTTCCTCAGCCCCTCTGTGCTTGCCCGTGGCCACCACAGGAAACCGAGGGCTGAGCCACTTGCAAAACATCTCCTTGGGGCTGAAGGAACCAGGGGGCTTCCACCTCCATGGTGCTGGTGGGGGGGACCCCAGGGATGGCACCCTCGGGCTGTGGTGGGGGGACCCCAGGGATGGCTCCATGGGGCTGGTGGGGGGACCCCAGGGATGGCACCCTAAGGCTGGGGGAGGTCCTGCTCACCTGGGTGTCCAGGTTCAGCTGCTCCCAGAGGTCATCGTGGAGGGCGGACACCTCGCTCTCCAGGCCCTCGTACTCAGTGGTGCTATTCATCAAGGCCTGGGGAGGGGGACAGTGGGGGGGTTAAGGGGGGGTCTTTGGCAGGTTCCTCCAGCAGCTCTGGCCAGGAGAGCGTGGGGACACCCGGGAAAGCATGAGGATGCTGAGTCCAACACAACCCCACTGAGCCAGGGAGGGGGTGGCAGCAGGGGGGTACAAGCTGTGCCCGTGGCACTCGGGGCACAGCAGTTTGGGGGAGTCAAAGGCAGAAGCAGGAGCCAAAATGGCTTCGGGCACATGTGCCACCTCAGGACCATGAGGGTTAATTTGCTTTGTCCCCACTGAGGGACTTTGGCTTCTCAGGGTCCCCAGCCAGCAGAGGGGATTGCTCTTCTTGGTGTTTTTTTTTTAACAGGAAAGGAGAAAAAAGACAGCAGCGGGTGGGGAGATGGTGCCAGCGCCAGGGACTGTGTCAGAGGGGGACCCCGTTACCGTGGTGGCTTGTGACAGCTCCACCCGGATGTTGATGAGCTGGTTCTGGAGAGATTCCTTCTTGTGCAGCAGCTTCTCCGGGTAGGCAGGCTGGCTCCCAAACATCTCCAGCTCCTGGTGCGTCCCCATCAGGGCACTCTCCAGGCTCTCCTGGGTGGGGGACAGGAGGGAGACACAGCCATGAGAGCCCATCTGGGCCAGGAGATACTTCCCCTCTCCTTAACAGGCCATCAGCACAAGGGGACTCCCAGGACCTTGGCATGACCAAGGCATCTTCTCCAGCTCAGAAATACCCTCACTGAGTTGCCCCCAAGAGAGCAGGACATGTTGCTTCCTCATCCCAAAGGTGCTGCCTGGGCATGGCACTGCCATGCAGCTGGGTTTGTCCCCAGACAGCCCCTTGAGCTGCCCACCACGTACCTTCTCTGCTCGGAGCTGCTGCACCAGCCTCTCCTGCTCCTGCAGCACCTTGTTCTGCTCACAGAGCTTCCCCAGCAGCTTCTGTCCCCGGGAGGGAAAGAGAAAGGGAGGAGAGAATGAGAGCATCCATGTGAATGGCCCCGTGCTCAGCTGGGATAGACGGGATTCAGCCAGGACGTAGCAGGACATGTTGCTTCCTCATCCCAAAGGTGCTGCCCAGGCATGGCATTGCCATGCAGCCATTCAGCAAGGACGTGGCCCACAGGGTTGGTTTGATGGGACAACGTGTGGTTCTGGGGAGGGTTTCCAGCCAACTGCTCCCCTTCCAGGGACCTCAGCCCCAACCAGGGTGGCACGGGCCAAACCTGGGAATGGGGCAAGCTGAATTCAGCCAAGGGTTTAGTCCCCAGGCAGCACACACCACACGTGGGGCATCACCAGGTCCCATCCTGGCTGGGCAGGAGCTCTCTCTACGGGGACAGCAGACCTGCTGCAAGGACAACGGTGTGGGGCAGAGAGGGGGACAGAGATGTTTGCCCTTACATCAGTGTCTTGCTCGCTGATCTTGTAGGCGTGCAGTGTCTCCCTGTAGGCCTCCGGGAAGGGTGTCACCTGCAAGGAGAGCGTGGGGTGAGCCTGGCTCCAGGAGCCCCTGGGGAAGCTGAGGCAGGTCCCAGCCCCTCTTCCCCATCCCCAGGAGCGGGGAAAGAGGCAAGAGATGAGTCTCCGGAGGCGGCGGGTGCTTCCCTGCTCCCGGGGCAGGCGCTGGATCCGTGGGGAGGCAGCGGGGGCCGCGGGATGTCAGGGATGTCAGCTCTGCCCAGTGCCTGGGATGAAGGCACAACCTCCTTCCCCGTTCCCAGCCCCGATGCCCATGGGCTGGGAGAGCCCCGGGAATGAGCCGGAGACAACCTCTCCTCAGGACGCCAGAGCTGAGTTAAAGAGATGCCTCGTGAATCATTAACTGCCCGGTGTAAGGCTGCCACCATTTCACAGGCAGGGAAACAAAGGCAGAAGGATTAAGCTGTAATCCCGCTCAGCAGAGTGGAAACACCTATAAATCAGCAGCAGCATCAGGGCCTGTTTACCATCCGGCTTCTCTGTGAGTCACTTTCCTTTCCTGGAAATCTAAATTACTAATGGGACCTCACCAATTAAATGCCTCCAAGATCTGGAGATGAAAGGCATAAGATAGGAAGGAGGGGATCATTATTGCTAGAAAGCAAGACGCTACTTTAGAGCCATTTAAAACCATAGGACGATGCAAATAGACCTGAACCTGGGAAATGCCCGGCGCGGCTGGAGGCAGAGCCATGGAGGATGGGGATGCTGCTGCCTCCGGGCAGGGAGCCTGGCCAGCGAGGGCATCTTGGCAGCTCCAGCTTCACCCTCCAGCACATCCTGGCTCCCCACGCACAGCAGATGGGAACAGGCACCTTCCCTTCATCAGAAAACCCCAGCGATTGCCCGGTTGCTGGTTGATCACACAGCCAGAGATGCCCTGGGCAGGACGGTGGAGACCATTGACCCCCCTGCCTGGGGCTGGCGGTGGGTCACAGTGACCCAGAGACACATTCCAAGGTGACAGGACCTGCCCGTGCTTGGAGGTGCAGCCCAACATCAGCAGGGACACCCCTATACATTTGCAGCCCTCTCTGGGCTGGGGAACAGAATGAGCCAGAGCCTCAGGCAATAAAAAAACTGTTTCCTCTCCCTGTTACGGGAGTTATTGCTTTGGTTTAAGAGCCTTGGGCTGGATTCCTGTCTTTAAAACATCTCACACCTTCTCCCTGCCTCATCAACACACGACGGCAACCAGAGGGTGGGCAAAGCACCCGAGTCCAGGCCAGGTGAGGGTGAGAGCTGAGGACCTTGTGCTCTTGTCCCCACCTTGTGCTCTCCGCACAAGGATTTACTGGGTTTTAATGGGCTCATGGATGGATTAGCAAAGCCTGTGATGGGCCAGCAGGTCCCCCGAGAGCGTGATGTGCCGGAGCCGCATGGATGCTGGAGCCTGCATGAGTGGAAATGGCAGGAGGTGACCTCGGGGATGGAGTGGCTGGCGTGGCTGCCATGCACGAGCCATGCGCGGCCCACGGGCCGGAGGCTTACTTGCATGTAGAGCTGAGCCCTAGGGGAGGAGGTCTCCACCATCCTGTTGACCATACTGATCAGGGTCTCGCTCTCGCTCATCTGCGGCAGACAGGGAAGGAAAGCGGAGAGGTCAGCGGAGACGCGCTCGGGAGGGCCGTCGGAGCAGCGAGGTGGCTCGCTCCACCCAGCTGCAAGTTGCCACCTCCAAGAGATGGCCCCAAGGCTCGAGCCACCCCAGGGAACGAGCTGCCCTGGGCTGCTGCTGCTCCGGGTTTGTGTGCTGAAGAGCATCCTGGGCTGGTTGCACGCCCTGAAAACTGTGTTGAGGGGAAAACACAGATAAAACCCAGCCAGCTCCGAGCTGGGCGGCAGCAAAGTGCACACAGAGACACAAGCTGGCACAGAGACACCCAGGGCTGCAAGGCACAGTGTGGTCCCAGCAGACAGACAGACTCCTCCTGCTGACAAACGACTCAGTGTCCTGCCCTCGTGGTGAAGCCAGGGCTGGGGTGGCCCTGCTGAAGGCACAGAGGAGCTCTGGGCATGGGGGAAGGTGACCGAAGCCCAGGGTTGGGGACAGCAGTGTCCCCCTCTCCAGCCTCGAGCAGAGGAGCCAGGTGGGAACAGGGTGCTCCCGTGGAGGTGGCACATCGTGGCCGTGCTGCCGGGCAGGACAAGGATGCGATGGCATTCAGGGCATGGACAGACAACCCCCAGAGCTGCAGCCAGCCCACAGCTCCATCCAGGCTGTGCCAAGTCCTCCTGGACACAAGCCCACCATGACCCTGGCCCCAAAGCCCATTCACACCCCTGCACCCTGGAGGTTTTTGCTGCTCTGAGGGCACTGGGGAGCCCAGGGCACCCCCATTAGCAGCACCAGAGCTTCCCCACTGCCTTTGCCAGCAGAAACACCACCAGAACCTACACCCCAGGGCTGGAAAACCCCTCACACCCCACAACCAGGACCCTCGAGCTCCAAGGGGTGACGCCAATTTAACCTGTGCCAAGTCCTCCTGGACACAAGCCCACCATGACCCTGGCCCCAAAGCCCATTCACACCCCTGCACCCTGGAGGTTTTTGCTGCTCTGAGGGCACTGGGGAGCCCAGGGCACCCCCATTAGCAGCACCAGAGCTTCACCACTGCCTTTGCCAGCAGAAACACCACCAGAACCTACACCCCAGGGCTGGAAAACCCCTCACACCCCACAACCAGGACCCTCGAGCTCCAAGGGGTGACGCCAATTTAACCACAAAGCAGGGACCAAACCCCAGCTGGAGGCAGGTCCTCATCAAGGTGGGAGCAGCTGAGGGAGCCGTCCCCGTGATCGGACGAGCAAGGAGAGAGAAAATGAAGCAGCAAACCGTTTGAAAAGAGACACTCGACAGCGTCAGCCCGAATTAGTCTCTCCAGAGGTCAGCAGGAGAGGAGGAGGAGGAGATGCACAGCCTTTTTAGGGAGTGTTTTAAAGAGCCTGGGAGAGCGAGCCGTTGCTGCCCATGGCTGCGAAATAACCCAGAGAGCTTTTATTGCAGCGAGAGCTCCTGCCTGTCCTTGGCTCCGCTCCAGGGCGGACACAGATCTTGGCGATTACTGCACCGATGGAGATTTGCAGACTAATGAGATTGTCTGTGGAGCAGCTCCCTTAGTGCAAGCCTGGCTTTTGCAGGCAGAGCGCCGGGGCTGCAGCACTGGCCGGCGGCTCCTGTCCCTGGCTTTGACATCAGCTGGTGCCTGCAGTTTCCACTCCCCTGAGTCCTGGGGGGGTCTCTTCCAGCTGGATTGTCCCCCACTCCAGCTCCTGGGATGAAGTCAGCTCCCAGCTTTCCTCCAAACACCCTCCGCCATGCAAAAAAACTGGGAACTGCTGCTTGGGTAGCAGTCCCTCACTCCAGCCCTGCACCAAACCTCTTGCCTTCAAGGAGGAACATGTCCAGGGGGTCACCAAAACAACCTCAGATTCATCCGGCTCCCCACGGCTCACCTGGCCACCCCCAGCACGGGGGGCACCAGCCCCATGGTCCCTGCAGCAGCCCATCAGCTCACAGCGATGCTGGTGGCACTGCTGGGTGCGGGGACACACCGTGTGGCACCGTGCCATGGGTGTCCCACACCACCCCGGAGCCAGCTGCCTCCCCTGCACCCCGGGAGCAGCTCCCCAAGGCCCCAGGTATGCAGGAAGCTGTCCCAGCTTCCCCCAGGATCCTCCCCCCAGGTCCCGAGCTCCAACACACCACACAGAAGGCACCGTCAGGGGAATTTTTCTGCCAAGCAATGAGCGACCCTACGGAGGGGAAGGATGGAAGAAGCAAACCAAAAAGACAACTCGTGCTGCTTTAATGCCGAGAAGGGTGCGGATGGATGTTAGGGGGAGAGATGCGGCGCTGGGAGGGAAGGGGACGTCACTGGGGACAGGGCACATGGGGACGTAAGCAGCGTGAGGCTCGCAGCCAGCTCTGCCTACCTGCTGGTCCAAATACTCTAGGTTTCTTTGCAACTGAAGGTCTAAAAGTTCATCCTACCAGGAGCCAGCAGGCACGCGGCAAGAAACGAACACACAAAACATATAAAAGAAGAAGCAAAGCGGTTAGGTGAAGGCTACGGAGATGCGAAGACCTCTTGGCTGGGGAAGAGAGGCATCTCCCTGGGCACAGAGCTGGGAAAGCCACCATGGATGTGCCCTCTGGGAGACCCTGGCTCTCCCTCCTGGCTCTCCCTCCCGGCTCACGCTGCCTCAGAAGAGGCACGGCCCTTTCCCTGCCTCTGGCCAGCGAGGATGGATGGCAGAATGGGTAGCTCATGGCAACTTGTGCTTCTCCCTCCTCCAACGGCTGGTCCTGCCCCGTGGTTTCGGGACCGTGCTCTGCAGGGGGACCTCCCAGTCTCACCCCACCAGCTCCGAGGGGAAACACAATGCAGGAAAAAGCAGCAGCTGTAGCCAGAAGTGAGGAAGCAAGAGGGGGAGAGGTGCAGGGTGGGTGCCAGCCTCAGCCAGGGACCACCCTGGGGGTGACGAGCCCGGGCCAGCATCGCAGGGCATACGAGGGTCCACGGGTGTCCCACTGCCCCCATGACCTGGGGGCTGCAGGGCATGAATTGGGGGCATCTCCATCAGGGTTTCCTTTGGGCACAGCCAGGAGGGACCAGAATCACCAGTAAAGGGACCAGTGGTCCAGCTCTGGCCCATAGGAGTGGAGCAGTTCCTCCTCAGCCACCCGAGCAAGGAGCCCCCAAACTGGCCCACCTTCCCGGGGGGCTCCGAGGGGCTCACCCCCTTAGTGCCAGCAGCGTACGTACCATTTTGTCGTGGACGCTGGGGGACGCTGGGTAGTGGAAGGGATACATTCCCACGGGGACGGGCCGTCTGTCACCCAGATAGTCGTACTGAGAAGAGAGGAGACCCCCCCGCACCCCCAAACCAGAGACACGTGAGAGGTGTGGGAGAGGCCAGAAAGCACACAGCAGGGTCCGGCCTGGCTTTGGGGTGCACAGCAGCAAGACAGGGACACCAGTGCTCCCAGCTCAGGAGCACATCACTCGTGGTGGCCCTGAGGACACCATCCCCACCTCCATCTCCATCCCCATCCCCATCCCCACCTCCATCCCCATCTCCATCCCCATCCTCATCCATTTGGTCTTGCAGCAGTGAAGGAGCAGCCAGAATCATAGAATCATCTAGGTTGGAAGAGACCCTTGGGATCATCGAGTCCAACCATCTACCCTACTCTACAAAGTCCTCCCCTACTCCACATCCCCCAACACCACATCTAAAGGGCTCTTAAACACATCCAGGGATGGGGACAATCACAACCTGGGCAGCTTTGCAGGATGACAAGAGGGGACCTAAAGCCATCAGCTGCTGCAAGCCACGGGGGCTTGGTGGCATTTTGAGGGCAGGCTGTGCTGAAGCATCCCTGCTCTGACACCCCCGGCGAGGGGCTCCCTCCGACCCCCCGAGCGCCGCCGGGCACTTACCTTGGGAGAACTGATGGATCTCCTCATCATGAAGGTGGTGGGGTCGGCGTAAATCTCCTCTCCCCGGGGCGGCAGGCGCTCGAAGCGGGCGCTGGGGGAGCGCACGGGGGAGTAGACCCGTGCCCGGCTGTAGGAGCCCTGGCTGGGGGAGCGGGGCACGGAGCGGGAGCGGGGCTGCAGCGACATCCGTCGCAGGGAACCCGAGGCAGCGTCCACCTCGTCCAAATAAGTGGGTTGCCTCCCGGGACCGGGGAGCCAGAGCGGGACGTCTTGCCGGCCAAACCCGGGGTGTTCCTTCCAGTCACGGAGCTGGTAGGTGCCCCCGTTGCGGAAGGAGAGACGTTTGTCCTCCAGAGCCCAGGGGGGGCTGACCCGCTCGTAGGCGGGCATGGAGCAGATGCTGTCGGGGCGCACCCCCGGCGGGTAGTACTGGTAGTCCTCGGGGTACTGGGGGGGCGAGTAGGGGGAATAGTAGTCGGGCACCCGGCGAGACACGGGGTAAAACCTGGTGGGGCTGGAAAAGGGAGGGAAGAGAGTGGTGAGAGCCGGGCTGGTGGCCAACCCCTCGCTCCACAGCTGGGATTCCCGGTGATTGAGGACAGCCTTAGAGCAGGCAGCTCTGGCACCAGCATCCAAAAAAGCTGGGCTGGCTGGCATCCCTCCTCCCAGGGATCCCACGGTGGCCCCCCCTTCCAAAATCCACCCTGCTTGGCTTTTCGGGGTGTCCCATTCCCAGGAGCTGGCACATGGGGACAACCCAGAAATGAGATTTTTCCGACCTCGGGAGAGGATAAAGCAGGTAGGGAGGAGAAAATCATTCCCAGAGCATCACGCGAGGGGCAGCCCTGGAGAAAAGGAGCAGGACTGTCCCCTCTACCCCCTCTGCCAGCCCCCCCCCCCAAAGTCCTCACCTCCGCAGCTCCTCGGGGGGCATGGCCCCCCGGCGCGAGTTGACCCACTGCTGCAGCTGCGTCATGGAGCTCTTGCGCTGGGCGATCTTCTCGGGGTTGGTGCGGGGGGCAAAGCTGCGGCGGTGGGTCACGGTGTCCCCGTCGGGCGGGGGGGGGTAGGCGGTGCTGCCGGGACGGCTGGGTGAGGAGTACGGCCAGCCGTTGGGCTGGGGCGGCCGCTCGGCGCTCGCCGGTACCCGGGGTGCCTCGGGGTAAGGGCTGCCAGGCTCCGAGGGCATCTCCTGCCCAGCGATGCCGTTGGCTTTGGCCAAGGGTTCCTTCTTGCTCTCCGTCCTCTCCGGCTTCCTCTCGATCTTCTCCGAGCCACGGCCGTCGCCTTCCCCCCGGGTCTTGGCGTCGGGGTCGGCTTTGGGGTGCTCGCGGTGGGCGGCGTTGCGGTGGTGGTGGTGGTGTTTGCTGGGGGGGATGTTCTCAGAGTCTGGCTTCTCGTGCCTGGAGGGTGCCGAAGCACAAGAGAGTGTTACCTTCCCCTTGCAATACCCCTGGGGTGGCCGGTGATGTCCTGTCCCCCCCTCAGCTTTGGGGAGCCAATGTTCCCCCAGCTCCTTTCTCCAGAGGGACCCTCACACCCTCAGGAGGTCCCCGGCCACAATGACCCTCACACCCCCAGGAGGTCCTCAGCCGTGATGCACCCTCTGCTTCATCTCCAAGAGACCAGGGGAGAGGGGTGGCACAGGGGGAGGGTGGGTGCTGACCTCTGGGTCGGGGGGATCTGCACCCGGGCAGCTTCGCCCATGGCTTGGATCCAGGACTCCTGCTCCTCCGTGTTCTCGGCGCTGAAGAAGTATGTCCGGATGCCAGCGTGCTCCGCCTGGGGAGACAGGGACTGCTGGTTACTCGCCGGCATCTCCTCCACCCAGCACACCGTCACCTGCAAGGGGGGGCAGAGAAGTGGGGAGAGAGACAAGACGGGAGGGAGGGTGAGAGCTCCATTTCCACCCCAGCACGAGGTCCTGCCACCACAGGAGCAGACAGACGTGGTCCTTCCCTCCCTGCCCGAGCCACGTCCATCCTCGGCGGCACCGAGAGGGATGAAGGCTCCAGCGCCAGCCCTTGTTCCCTCTCAGGGCATCCCTTGGGGCCATGAGTCCCCTGTGGTCACCACCAGTGATGTTTGGGACCACCCTTCCCAAGGCCCCACACCCCAGTGCAGAGGATGCTGCACCCCAGCATTGAGGGGGTCCCCGTGGGGCACACAGGGCTGGCAAAGGGTTCACGTCCCACTGAGAGCAGCAGCACCAGACAGAGCATCATCGTTCATGCAGGGTTAGGAGGAAGGTGGCTTTTTGGCCCAGACAAGATTTTTTGGGGGAAAAAGGTTCAGTTTTGGCCAAAGATGTCAGCGCCCACTCTCCACCTGGAAGGCAGGGTTATTTCAGGTCTTTTTGAAGCTTCCACCTTCCCCCTCTGTGGAAAGGGGCGGGAGGCAGCGAGGAGGATTAAAAGGGAGAAAGCAGGAGGGTTTTTCCCCCCAAATGATCTTAAAAAAAACCAAAGTTAAAAAAAATAATTGGGGATCCAATTAAAACCCTCCCGTGGATTTCCATCTTCCCCAGAGCATGCAGCCACCGTGACCAGCCGCGGGGTCACCCCCTGCATCCCCCATGCACTCCTGCCTCTAAAAGCTCTGCAGTCAGAGCAAAAGATCAAACCAAAGGGATTCGTCCCCCTGAGTTAGTGGGAGCGGGGTGAGCAGAGCATGCCGGCAAGCCTGCGGGTCCCTCGCCCTCCTGCATGCATCAGAAAGACAAGAAGGTACTACCTAGGTGGTGGCTGGGTGCTGGAGCAGTGGACGGGCACGAAGAGAGAGACCTCCTGTCCGGGGATCCTCGCCCGCGGAGAGAGGAGGAAACACAGACAAGGGTCAAGCTGCAGCGTGGCAGGAGCGTGGGTGCTGCAGCACAGACCTCTCCTGGCCAGCGGGACCCTTTCTACCCTGCTCTGAACAAAACCATCCCCCTGAAACCCTCGTGTGGAGATGGAGCCACAGGAACCCGCCTGCAGAGCTCAGCTGGTGGGCAGCGGCTTTGCAAGGCTCCTTCCCCACCAGTGTCATAGAATGGTTTGGGTGGGAAGGGACCTTCAAGCCCCCCCAGTGCCACCCCCTGCCCTGGGCAGGGACACCTCCCACCAGAGCAGGTTGCTCCAAGCCCCCTCCAACCTGGTCTTGAACCCCTCCAGGGATGGGGCAGCCACAGCTTCTCTGGGCAACCTGGCTCAGCATCTCACCACCCTCAAAATGAAGGTGTTCTTCCCCAGATCTAACCTAAATCTCTCCTTTTTCAGCTTAAAACCCTTCCCCCTCCTCCTGTGGCTCCCCTCCCTGATCCAGAGTCCCTCCCCATCTCTCCTGGAGCCCCTTGAGGGACTGGAAGGGGCTCTAAAGTCTCCCCGGAGCCTTCTCTTCTCCAGGCTGAACCCCCCAACTCTCTCAGCGCCCCCCTCCCAGCAGAGGGGCTCCAGCCCTCCCAGCATCTCCATGGCCCTGCTCACAAGCCAAGAGACATTTTGAGACCCCCTCAGGTCACTTCTCTGCTCTCACAGCTGCAGAAACCACAGGCAAAGAGAGACCTCACCCCTAAACTGGGCTCAGTTTTAAGGCAGATTTAAGGGTGGCAGCTACGAAAATCCATCTCTTAGATTGGGAAAACTCCTCCGCAGCACCCTGCGGGGACCCCAGGAAGGTGCAGGCTGGAATTTTTGCACAAGTGCACACGAGTGGGAGGCAGCCTGGGTCGGGGTCGGTCCGGCAGCGAGCGCCAACACGGCCACAGGCAGCACGAGCAGTTGTGCTGGTGAAAGTGCACGGTGACACCGAAGGTGCACAGTGATGCCAAAGGTGCACGGTGACGCCGACAAGTGCCATGGGGTGCCAGGGAAGCCCAGCCCCTGCTCTGAGCGAGGGAGAGCCCAGTTCTGCTGCTGGGGATGGGGGCGGGAGACCCCCGGCTGCACCAGCCCCCTCTTCTCTTACACCCACGGCAGCGCAGGCTGACGAGCAGCGACTCATTACGGGCTACCCCCTTGTAATTACACTTCCCTTTCTTTAGCACACCAGTCAGAGCAGGCTAAAAAATAATTATAAATCAGAGCTGGGGACACCTCTCTACGCCTGGCTCCAAGGAGCACTGCAGGGACAGGCTGGTTGAGAGCAGCGATGCAGAGGGGAAAGCAGGGCAGGGAGAGGGACAAGAGCATCCCCACTGCTTGCCCCACACCCAGCATCTCCCCGAGTTGGGGGGCAGCGGGGTACACCATGGGGCAGAGATCTGGGAGCAGCCTAGGCCTCAGGGGGGTGATGACCTTGGAAATGCTGCTTGGCCCCACACCTGCCTCAGTTTCCCCAGCAGAAGGCACATCTGCAGAGCGCAGGGTATCCCTGGAGGGGGTTACACTGCCAGCCCCCCCTCTCCCCAGCTTGCTTCATGCTCCGTCACCAAGAAAGCAAGAAGAGGGAGCGGCGGGGACCCTGCGAGCGTCACCGCTGCCCCAGCGCTGCCCCGGGGGCTGCGTGTCCCCTCCGAGCACTGACCTTGAACGTGTGCTTCCTGCTGATGTTGTCGGAGGGCTGCACGGCCGCCACGCGGAAGCTGAGGAGGGGGATGCTGCCCAGGATGCTCTCCTCCTTCTCGTCTGCTGGGCAAAGGCAGGGGTTACAACACACGGAGGGGCTGGGAGCCCCCACTGCCCCCCAGCCAGGACCCAGGAGGTGCCGTGGGGACACGGGTCCCATCGCTCCCACTTTTCCCACCTGTGGGAAACCACTGCCTGTTGCTCCCCGGCAGCTCTGTGTGGCTGGAACAACAGCCTGCTCAATTATTCATGCCCTCCCTGGCTGAGCTGCCAGGGCTGAGCCCATGGAGCTGCCAGGGAGGGAAGGCGCCTGCATTAACCCCTCGGGTCCCCGGCGTGGCAAACACCCACCCAAAGAACTGCTGGACATAGGGTCATCAGCCATTGGACTGATTGGTTGGGTGGTTGGGGCACCATCCCTGGAGGTGTTCAAAAGCCGGGTTGATGTAGTGCTGGGAGGTATGGTTTGGTGATGATGCTCCTTGTTTGTTGTGTGGGTGTCTATTTTTGTCAAAATTAGGTTGACGGTTGGACAAGATGATCTTTAAGGTCCCTTCCAACCTAGAAGATTCTGTGATTCTGTGACCCCTTTACCCACGATGGCAAAACCTGCTCCACGCCTGGTCACAGCCCAAGGTTTGCTTGCAGGTGCCCAACTGGTGGCCACTGGGTCCTTTTGGAGGGGGGGGGGATGACACAAACCACAGGGGGGTACCCAGGGCAGGTACTCGCTGCCGTACCTTTGTAGTAGAAGAGGCAGCGATCCACCAGCACGAACCAGCGCTTGTTCCACTGCTTCACCCCCGAGCTGGCCTGCGAGAGAGGGGCCGTGAGAGCAGCCCCCACCCAGGGAAGGGATGGCACAGCCCCGGGGGGGGCACCCGGCACGGCGGGGACTGGGGTACCTGCTTGTAGAGCCACCCGCTCTTGGTGACGGCGGCGTTGGGGTTCCTCTTCATGGAGTTGGAGCGCTTCCCGAAGGCAATGCCCTTGCGGGAGGAGCGTGGAGCCTGCAGAGGGGGAGAGGAGCCACTCAGTCCCCGGGGGGGTCCCCAGCACCCCGTCTCTGCTGCCGTTTGCCATATCACGTGGCTCCAGGCACTCACCCGGCCTCCGGGGCGCTCCGGGGCCACCTCTGACACCATGGTGTGGTTGGAGGGCTCGCTGGTGATGGTCGCCGGTCGCTTGCCACCCGCTTTGCTTGACATGTCCAAGGTCGGTCTGTGGCACAGGAGGAGAGCTGAGTCAGCAGAGCCACCTTTTTCCACCCTGCAGAAGCTGTCCCTGGGCCATCCCCACCTTGGGCATTGTCCCCCCACACTCCAGCCCACTTTGGTCCCTCTTCACAACCCACTCCCGGGCCCCAAACCCAGAGGAGTCGGGAGCCAACTTACTTTTGCAAGTCAAGTCTTGAGTTGTCCTCAGGGACCTGTCCCGTCACTGGGTGCAGGAATGTGTTCCGCCTTTCATTGTGGCTGCAAGAGACAGCGGCAGGGCGGTGGGTCAGCATCCCCTGTCCCTGTGTCCCCCAAAAAACCCTTTGCCTTTAGCACATTTGCTGCCCCGACCCCAGCACTTTGCTGTGCCCACCCCCGCAGCGGCGCTGGCTCCCTGCCCCGAGCATCGCTCCCCCCGACCCCCCACCAACCCCCACTTCAGATCTGCTCAGCACATTTCATCACCGTTCCCCAGGAAGCGTTTGCCTCGCTGGGAGCCAAAATGAGCTCTCTGGTGGCCGAGCCCTTGTCCCTTTTGTTGGGCACATCCCAAACCACACCATAAACCCCACTCAGAAGCAGTTTCTACAGCAGCAACGGCCCATCCTGGGGGGCAGCAACGTCCCCCAACGTCACATCCTCCCCTTGGGCCTGCTGCTTTCAGAGCCACGTGTCAAAGCACCTCGAGCCAGGCTAAGAGCACCTGGTGACGTGGGGCAGACCCCCACCATCAGCCCAGGACCCACCAGCACAAGCTGGTGCCTCTGGATGAGGCCCCGGTGCTGTTTTGGCAAAGTTGGCCACCACGGGCGGTGCAGGGACTCCCTGGCAGCGCCGGGAGGAGGGAGGCAGGGCTGGCAGTGTTTGCCACCTCCCTGCCCTGTCCCGCAGAGCCGGTCTTGCTGGGCACCCCGGCACCTCGCCGCTCCGGCTGGGGAACACGCTGCTTCCCCCCTGGAGCTGCCTCGGGAGGAGAAGACGAGGTGCACCCAAGGGGGCTCCATCCCGGGAAGTTTTGCATGGGACATCATCCCCGTGACACCCCTCCTTCCCAAAGCTCCGGGCACCGGGACACACGGTGGGGGTGTCCCCCCCCCCCTCCTCAAGCCACACGCGAAGCCAACACGCCACCAGCCCGGCACGCAGCTCAACTCCCGCCTGTCAGCACAACAGGGGAAGTTTGAGCAAGAAAACGCCGCTGCCAAGACCATCCCATCCACACACGCTTCACCCCCAGCCTGGGCCGCAGCCAGGCTCGGAAGATATTAACTGCTTTCTGCCCAAAACTGAAGATATTAACTGCTTTCTGCCCAAAAAGCCTCGCCGAGAGCTGCTCCCCCTTGCAGGTCCCATCCTGTGCCCCGCCACGGGTCTGTCCTCCTCTGCCAGCCCTTCCCCTCCCTTGGGGTCACCTTAAAAACCTGGGTGATGTGTACGCACCCCGTAACGGGGGGGAGAACTCGCTCCCCAATTTCCCCCCCCCCCCAGCACCAGGATTTTCTGTGCCGTGACCGACAGGCGTCACCCGTGGGGAACAGCCCTCCCAGCCCACGCTCCCACAGCCTCAAAGGGGGTTTCTGTCACCCGGGGGCTGGAGCTGTTTGTCCCCAGCAGGTGACTTTGGAGGGGCACAACACGGAGCGGTGGCACCAGAGCGGGTCCCCAGCCCCCCCAGTGACGCTGACACACAGGGAAGGTGCAAACACCGAGCAAGCAGCACCCCGACCTCCCCAGCCCTGGAAAGTGGGGGCTGTCCTGACCCACCAGTGTGCCCAAACCCCAGCTGGGGATGTGCCCCCCACCACCCCACACCTCAGCAGGCTCCTGTTCATGCAGGCTGGACTCCCCCCCCCCCACTGCCAAGCCCAGGACACACTTTACAGCCC